GCAGAACGTGCTGCAAATCAGTGCAAATCAGCCCCCAGGGAAGAAAGGTCATTACAAAAAGCAGAGCGGGAAGCGAGAACTCTTTTTTATCCTCCCAGGAAAATTTTCTATGAACATGAAAAACAAAATTCTGCCAAATTTTCCAGGTTGGCCTCACCAATCCGACAATTTGCAGAAATCTTTCCACTTTTAACAGCCACAAACTGGACATTTTTGGCTGCCCGGGCAATAGTGTTTGGTTTTCGCTAAAAGTTCACCCAACTGATGGGAATTTTTCAGAGGGGGGCTGCTAAGAGTGGAAACCTTTTGGGAAAGAATTCCGTTTTTTTCTATACGACCCCCAGGACTTTCAGGCATAAGGGCCGTTCCCCTCCAGAAATTCCCATTTTGACAGATTCGCCATTTTTCTATCCAAAATAAACCCTTTTAAACTGAAACATGATGACCGGAGCTAGGCACGGATGCTAAGGTCTCACTGCTTAGCTCTGCTTGTGGCAGTAGCCCCATGGATATCAGCCAAGTCGGAGCTTCAGGGGACATGCGGCAAAAAAACCAAACCAAAACACATCCGTGAGTTTCAGAGCTTAGGGCAGCTCACCCCTCTGCCCTGCACAGGAGCTGCTGTTACCCTGTGCTGCTGCCTCTGTATCAGAGGCAGCAGCGTGGGGTCACAGGAGCCCGTCTGCAAGAGGAGCTGGTTTTTAAACTGGTTCCTCTCGTGGACCAGCTCCTGCCTAGCACCCGATGCTGGTGCCTCTGATACAAAAGCAGCAGCGCGGTGTGGCAGGGGGCCCCTTGGGAGTGGGGTCGGAGCACACTGGCTTCTGGCCCCATCCCCAGGAACTGTGGAATAGTCGAGTAACCGATAAGAATTCATGAGGTTCATCGACTAGTCAATTAAGTGATATTTACCATCCCTAGCGCCAGCGTAAACTGGATTTCAGTGCTGGGGGCCACATTCCCAGTGCTGTTAGCTACTCCCCCCGTCCCGGTGGTTTATGGTTCTTCCAAAGCTGCTTTGATTCCTGCCGTTGGAGGTGTGAAAAGCAAGTTTCTAAAGGTGATATTTAGGTAGCGGTGCATTCGCTCCAATCACAGGAAGAAATATGGCAGGGAAACGTTATTTGCTCTTCCTCTAATGGTGTCTGGGCATCATCTCTTACGTGTCCGTACAACCGTGGTCTCAATGGACAGAGCTCACGAATACACAGAATAATCCAGGGGCATGTAACGTCGATGAGAACAGGGCTTTCTAAATTTGTGGTGTGGGTTTATAAAGCCCAGAACCACTACAACCCCCTCCGAAAGATTTTCCACTGCAGCAAAGTCCACACACACAACTACAGCAAAGTCAACACACACGCACACAGCTACAGCAAAGTCAACACACACAACTACAGCAAAGTCCACACACAACTACAGCAAAGTCAACACACACGCACACAGCTACAGCAAAGTCAACACACACAACTACAGCAAAGTCCACACACAACTACAGCAAAGTCAACACACACGCACACAGCTACAGCAAAGTCAACACACACAACTACAGCAAAGTCCACACACAACTACAGCAAAGTCAACACATGCCCACAGCTACAGCAAAGTACACACACAACTACAGCAAAGTCAACACATGCCCACAGCTACAGCAAAGTACACACACAACTACAGCAAAGTCAACACATGCCCACAGCTACAGCAAAGTACACACACAACTACAGCAAAGTCAACACATGCCCACAGCTACAGCAAAGTACACACACAACTACAGCAAAGTCAACACATGCCCACAGCTACAGCAAAGTACACACACAACTACAGCAAAGTCAACACATGCCCACAGCTACAGCAAAGTACACACACAACTACAGCAAAGTCAACACATGCCCACAGCTACAGCAAAGTACACACACAACTACAGCAAAGTCAACACATGCCCACAGCTACAGCAAAGTACACACACAACTACAGCAAAGTCAACACATGCCCACAGCTACAGCAAAGAACACATACAACTACAGCAAAGTCAACACATGCCCACAGCTACAGCAAAGTCCACACACAACTACAGCAAAGTCAACACACACACACACAACTACAGCAAAGTCAACACACACACACATCCCACCCTGTCACAGGCGTGGATTCTAATCTGAACATTACAGGGCTCTGAAATAGCTTTGGCTTTCCATTATAAACAAAGTTTGTTCCGTTCCAGTCCGCAATTAGCAAGCACGTTATTTTGGGGCCTGCTCCAAGCTTTGGGGGCTACTACTCACATTAGACTATGGGAGGGGTGGCAGGTTTAGTCTTGTACCCCATGCTGGTTCTAAACCAACTTGGGCAGAGAGCTTCAGGGCGGGATTTGGGGTAAGGTGGGTAGTGGTTCATGCTGGCATTGCCACTCAAACAAACGCTTCGAGGAGGCGTAGAATATATCCCCATCGCCTTGTGAAATAATGCTTACAGATCGCCTTCCAGACCCTTACAGATCGCCTTCCAGACCCTTACAGATCGCCTTCCAGTCAAGTCACTCAAAACCTTTCCCTGTCAGTTGGAAGTTTGCCTGAGGAAGGAATACAGATCCCATGGGATCAGTTACACTTCACAACTCCTGGAGGAGAACAAGGAATATTCCCACTTTGGGGAAACAGAGGCACACCTGCCGGGTTGCCAGCTCTCTTGATTCAACTATGAGATTTATAATATTTGGCGCTTTTCTTTCAGCCCCAGGTGCTGGAGTCGGGTGAATGCCTCTGAATCTCAGTTTCCCTTTTGTTTGGGGAGGTTTTTTTCCTTACGTACATTTCTAGCCCTCCTGGTTATGAAAAAAAGCTTGAAGTCTCAGAATCCCAAGGCCTCACCAAAAGGCCCCCCACGATTTCTTCCTTGCTCTAGAACTCTGATTTCTAAACCAAATCTGGTGGATTTTTTTCTTCCTGCCCCTGAGAGCGGCGGAGAGAGGCCTGGTCCATTTTCAAACGTTTGTCATTGGCCAAACCGAAAAGCAGAGCAGCGCCTGGAACCGGGTCACACAAGGGAAGAACAGGGAACAGAACCCGGGCATCCCGGCACTTGGCCCCGGATCCGACGCGCAAACACACGGCTCCCAAAGCTGGACTAGAAAGCAGGAGCCCTGCCCCCTGCTCCCAGGCACAAGCAGCAGAGAGAGAGAGCACACAAACACATTAGTTGCAAAGTTCCCCCCTCTCCCCAAGCAGCTCCACTCGGCCCCGGACCTTCCCCTCCCGCCGGAATCGCCATCAGCAGGTTGCAATGTAGGGAATCAAGGGAGTTTGCAAAGGGAATTTCGCTGGGAGTTGGCAGCAGGTGATGAGTGGGAGAGGTGGGGGGGGCATGTGTCCCCCCCCCCGAGATTTTAATTGCTGAAGCCGAGTGGCCTCACTCCACCCCTCCTCCTCCCCAGCCAGCGGTCGCCTCGGGTTGTGCGCTATCGCCTGCCACCTCTCACGGCATTACGGACCGCTACCATTTGCCCGTGGAGATTAAGCCGCACTGTGTGAATGGCCACACGGGCCAGCGGGCAGACCCCCGGCCTGCCTGACTCCCGGCCTGCCTCTCCAGCAGCAGCAGCAATAAGGGATATGCCTCCAGAGGTGGTTTCCGGGACCTCTGGAGAACAGAGTCGCAGGCCGGGTTGGCACCAAACTGGGCTGAGACTGACACACCATGTCCCATCCTCCCCCCCCCCCCCCCCAGAAACGAGCCACGTTTCCTCGCCCCGGCTTGCACCTAGGACCAGCCAGGCTGCTACACGGCTGAGTGGGAGAGATTTCATGGATTTTACCTCTTGAGCAGATCCCGGGAAGTTAGTGCCAGCCAAGCTTAGCGACAGATTAGGGTTAAAAAAAACCAACCACCCTGCTATGTTTCTTCATACCGCACAGGGGCCTTTTATATTGCTCCCAACACAAGCCTTTGCCCTTTTTGGGACAACGGCAGAGCCAGTTCAACTGCCCAGATTCCTCACCGGCGTAGCTTGGACAAAGGAAAACGCAGCCCAGTAAATACCCGGACCCACAGGGTGGAACGGACCCACGGAGGGGAGCAGTGCTGGGTCCACGTATGGCTAAAGACCAGGTCTCTGCTTGCACCTTTCTCCTCCTCTCTGTAACCTGTCCTTGTTGGTAAACATTCCCCTCCCTGCCCCCTTCCCGGAGCCCTGGGAAATGAAAGAATCCAAAGTATTTTTGGATGCCAAAGTGAAACAGTAGAAAGGAGCGTTTTGCTGTTGCCCCTGCACAGAAGGGCCCCAGATCAGCGGGGTGCTCTGACCATTGATGCCCACAGGGGCTTTGGATCAGGCTCGGCACCTTCAAATACGAGTCCGGGGGGGGATTTTTCATTTTCACAAGCCATAAAACAACATTTCGAGCTATTTCCCGGGCAGGCAGGGAGGAAAAGCTCCGTCTCTGCAAGAAATAAAAGTAAAAATAAACTCGATGGGGCGTTTTTTGAGGCTGGCGGTTGCCAAAGCATCGCCCCTGGCTCCCCTTGGCACGCTCCAGCCGCGGCTTTCAGCTCACCCCGGCACACAAATAAACACACCGTGGTAACTATGTCACACCCACCATGGGCCGAGAAAAGGGGAACTTTAAAAAGCCGGACTGACTTCTCTTTAAAGCATCTGGTGTTTCAAATATTAACCCCGCCCTGGCCCTTTGCTCTCCCAACAATCTGCTCTTGCGGGCAGAGATCAGCTCCTCATACACTGCTCCGAGCAGGTGAAAGATTCATTTTCCACCAAGGCTGGCACACAACCCACCTGTGTCTCTCTCACACACACAGCCCCTCCCTCTCTGGGACAGCTGTAGTCCCCACACCCGCAGGTGTATCAACTCTCAGCACACTGATCAGGCAACAGTGAAACTGACCCACTTCCAGTGAGTCACAACAGCCGGGCCCAGGGAGAACAGGGTGGCTTCCCTAAGACAATCGGCTTTATCTGCAGAGAATAATCAAGCCCTCTCCTTTACCTCCTTTCTGAAGCGCGTCCAGTCACATCCAGGGGCCTGGGGCCAGCGGGCTGCAGCCTGGACTTTTAACCCTTTGGCTCTTGGGTTTGGTTTGAGAAAGAAAGATATTCCCGGAGAAATAAAGGGATAGACAGATAGATAGAGAAAATGTAGAGAGATGGATAGATAGATGGGGGAGTACAGGTGATAGATAGATGGGGTGTTTGGGGATAGACAGACAGACAGATGGATACAGTGTAGAGGGATGGAGTGAGTGTCTAGGGATGGATAGATAGACAGAGGGGGTGTATGGGGAGATAAATAGGTAGACAGCGAGTATAGGGATGGACAGACAGAGGGGGGGTGAGGACAGACAGACAGACAGGGTGTATAAATCCGGACAGAATATCTGGGGGCGGAAATGCACGGAGCAGCGGGTAACAGCTGTTTTGCTGGGCTCCAACAGCTGGTTCCCGTCCCAGGGTCGCCACTCGCCTCTCCAGCCGCGTCTCCGGACGCCCCCCGTGCGGCACGGGGCCCCCCAAAGCGGCGGGG